CTTTAAATTAAACGCACCAAATATTAAGTACAAAATATTTAGTTACTTCTACTTAGCGAAATACCACGCACAAGTATATAAATTTATTTTATTCATATATTTATAAGCATATAATAGCCGCCTTCGTTTGGCCACTTCTGTACTCGCTATGCTTGAGTTCCGGTCGTTTAACGGCTAATGTACAATGCAGTGAATATATCTTCTTATACAAAATCCCATAAAAGGTTATAACCTAATAAATAGGTATAATTATGTGCATTATACCGGGTGTCCTAGACCACCCGTCCACCCCTTTTAAAATGGAGAAAAATATTTTGTACTAAAAACCGAAAAAATATGAACTACCGAGTTGGAGATACTCTATCTTTTGGTCGTGTTTCCACCGGAAAAGGGTTAAACAGTCCATTCCTTTAACCGGAAGTCTATTCCAAAAAGAGCTACGTATTTTTACCCGCAGAATCCGAATCAGAGGTAAAACATGTATATATATCCCATTTAAAAATAAGTACTTTCGGTTTATTTAACCCACTACCGGTCGAAACCGGAAGTCCGTAATAGTACCAAAAGATGGAGTATCCCCGAACTTGGTGATTCATATATTTTTTTTTCAATAAAAACATTTTCGCCCATTTTAGAAGTCAAGGAAGAGTTGAAGTTCGAAAGTCGTTGAGAGGTGGAAAAAGGCACTTCCGTAAAAAAGTTCCAAAAAGTTTCCCCAGAAGCCGAATCTGTAGTAAAACATATGTGTCTAATTAAAAACAAATTTACAAATCAGTTAAACTCACTTCTATTCAAAACCGGAAGTGGGTAATACCAGCAAAATATAGAGCATCCCCGATTTGGTAGGACTTATTTTTTTGAATTTCTCAGTAAAAAATATTTCCCGCATTTTAGAAGGGGTGAGAACACGGGGAATTCCGAAGTCTCGAAAAAATAAAATGAATATCATAAAAAATTTAGAAAAGTCACGAAAATCCCAATGCAGTTCATTATATTATCAATATTTAAAAAATAAAAAACGAAGATTTAGAAACTAAATAAATACCTTAGTACTTTAGTATTTAGCACCTCTCAAATAATTAAATTGGGGGAGCGAACAAAGTAATTCAGGACGCCGTGGGAAACTGGTATAAAGTGATACATTAAATATTTACAAGAGTATTTAAGTAAGTACATATGCCCCTCCCTGGTATTAAGTATGTATTTTTTCTGTATTCGTTAAAAAAAAAAAATTTTAACTGAACAAGAATTAAATTTTATTATTAAACAAATATCGCTTAAGAGTGGCTCTTAAAACGTAACTGTTTGCGCCATGATAAAAACATAGTAAGGTAAAACCGTTCTCTCAATTCATCTCTCATGATTTTTTTTTTTTTGAAGTTTGCCAAAATTTAAAATCATATAAAATTGAGAGTAAAAAAAGGAATTGTTCAAAGTTGTTGTTTGAGATTAAAAATGTGAATGTGTGCGTGATTTTGTGTGTAAAATATTAAAATTAAATTGCTTGCAAACGTCAAGAATTTGAAAAATTCCTCTCAGCGGTTCTACCTTCCTATTTTTTTTTATCATGGTTTGCGATGCATCTAGTCAATGAGACTCGGGTTATTGATGGTAATCAAATTCGTACCTATCAATGTAATCACTGGGTAGACAATTGGGAGAAGATAATTTTACGAAATTATGTAAAACAATGCAAGCCTTAAACATTTTCTTCTGCGTTTTTAGGAGCTATACAAAGAGTGGTACGAAGAATTCTCCATTTTGCAGTCAGGATCCCAAAAGTATTTTCGATAATCCTCCTCGCACGCGAAAGTCTTTTGTTGAAATATTCCTGTTCAGTCTGTATATTTCTACCGCCAACTAAATAATGTGGAAATGGCCCTGACTCCCCTGGTAAAGGACAATCTGGAGGAAATTTGAGGTGTTTGTTTTCGATAGCCTCTGTTAGCTTCGAAAAATGAAATATACCACCGTCGCTTTGACCATAACCACCAATATCGACGCACGTAAATATGTAGTTGGCGTCGCATATTGCTAAAAGAACAATACTATAATTTCCCTTATAATTATAGTACATGGAACCAGAATTCGTGGGGTAAGTTATATTAATATGTTTGCCATGCATGACACCAATACAGTTAGGCATTTTCCGTAAAACTTCAAATTCGTTTGCAATACGAATCCACTCTGCTTCGTTTGGTATGCTCAGGTAGAGATCTGCCAACAAATCCCATATTATATCCAAGAATGATAGAATACAAGATTGCGCCCATGATTCAATAATACAAGGTTGGATAAATATTGACATTTGTGTCAATCTACTGCCTTGTAAGGTTGCATTTGAGAAGGAAAGAGAAAGCGGGTTACCATTTTATCCCCTGTTCTGAAAAGGTAGTGGGAAAAGTAGTGTGGTAGTGTTGAAATGTTTTTTTTTTTTAATTTAATTAAATATATGAAGCGGATTCCACTGATTTACACAATAGACAATGAATTAACTTTTTTATGGTATAATAAACATGCCATATAGATATTAAAATGAAATAAATGAATATTCACATAAAATTCTGACCAAAGAAAAATCGTATTGACAAATCGTCACTAAACACGAATAAAGGCGCGAGCTCATAAGTTGACCGCGAAAAAAGGCGCAGCAAAAAATTTCAGCGAAGAAAGACTCTTAACATAGGTGACGGCGAAGAAAGGCGCATTAAAATATTTGACGGCGAAGAAGGACGCGTAAACTTATTTTCGCAGTCAACTATGTTTGCGGGTGTAATAGTATGTACATTCCGTTAATAGTTTTTGGGGAATAGTGCTGAAGTGGCAGTCCTTCGCCAAGTATAAATCTATGATTACGCGTCTTTCTTCGCCGTCAACTAGGTTACGCGTCTTTCTTCGCCGAAGTTTTACTTAAGCGCCTTTTTTCGTAAAATTTGTGTATGCGTCTTTTTTCGCCGTCGAAACACTAGCGCGCCTTTATTCGAGTCTACTGACGAAATATTCCCAAATATTCAAAATAAACCATGGTTGCATTGAAATTCCAGTATATATTAAACAAAATTAATGGAATTCAAACAAATCCTTTATTCAAAGGGACTATATGAAGAAATATACAAATAGTAATGATGTAATTGATATAATGCATATAAACTAATCTATTAAAAAATATATTTGGTGCATTTAAAAATTACATGTTAAATATCTTGAACTGAATTATATTTGGTTTTTTATAAATTTCAATTTGTTAGTAATGTTTTCTACTATTTTTTACAATCAGTCTTGCTAATAATTATATTGGTAACATTTAAAAGTTACATATTCAATATCGTAATTGAATTACATTTGGTTTTTTACAAATGTAAATTTTTTAGTAATGTTTTCTACTATTTTCTCCAATCAGTCTTGCTAATCATTATATTGGTTACATTGAAAAGTTAGATCTTGAGTATCCTAATTTAATTACATTTGATTTTTATACCCGAGCGCACTTGTGCACAAGGGTATTATAACTTTGTTCACATAACGGTTGTTTGTAACAGGCAAAACGAATCGAGATAGATATAGACAAATGTATACATAAATGATCAGAATGAAAAGAGAAATCGATTAAGCGGTGACTGTCTGTCCGTCCGTCCGTCCGTCCGTCCGTCTGTGCACACGATAACTCGAGTAAAAATTGAGATATCTTAATGAAACTTGGTACGTGAACTTCTTTTGGGTGTAGGACGGATGGTATTGAAAA